AGGTAAGAGGGTATTTAAGGAAAAATGACTGATTAAGTGGTGAAGGTAAAGGAATAAATGCTGAATACTTCAAATATATTTACATTTAGGCTGCTTTAAGAGACTTGCCCACATAGAACAGTGATGGCAAAGCACAGGAACAAGGTCCTGCTTCAAGTCTGACATTGATTTCAGGGTTGCAGTACTCTGAGAGTTTGTATAAATTTTCCTGGTTCAGCTTTAACTCTCAGTCATGTGGTATCATCCTTGTCTCCAGCACTGCACTTCTGAAAAATACTACTCTCTCCAGTTTGAAACACTGCTTAAAAATTGTTCCTTTGACCTTCTTACTTAGAAGGAACAGCTGTTGCTTTGCTCTAACCTTTAAAACCCGCTTGAAGTTTTCTGTTGCCCATCTAAAACAAATGCGAGGCTGCGCAGACCTGGTGGTGGGCTCTTCAGCTTCCTACTTGTAACTACTCAGAATGTGTTCGCTTCTTTGAGCTCATTAAACAGGAATGGAGTTGTAATGGTTTGAAGGGTATAGAGGCATGAACAGGTACAAGTGTGGTTTGTTTTTTCAAATTTTACGTTTATTTTTATATTGGAAAGGGTTGAAAGCTTATTTAAAAACAAAAGTGCAGCTCCCATTCATTTTACAAAGGCTCCACGCAAACACTGTCAGAGGTGCTACCTATGACTCCTGGCAGTGGTCCCAGCCTGCCCCTGTCCCTGCGCTGCCCTGTTGCACGGGCAACAGCTGGACGTGCAGCAGCAGCATGGGAATCCCTTATGGCTGGGGAAGAAGCAGAGGGAGGAGCGATGGGCTCTGATTCCGTTTGTGCAGCTGGAGGGCAAAGGGCTGGGCTGCACAGCTGAGGCAGGTGCTGCCACAGCTTCACACCCTCAGCCTCACCGAATGGCCTCTAGGCTTTGTCATCTGACCAGAACCCACCCGCTCCCCGTTTTACTGAAAATCTCTTTTCTCTGTGCTGAAACGCAACACTGAAGGAGAAAGAAGCGATGAATTGCGTCTCATTTTAAAGATTAATTCTGTTACCATTTCAGGCAAATTATGTGTACGGTTAGCTTGTAAGCCTGGTGCTATAGAAGCACAAATGATTGCTTGTTTATAGAAAAAGGCATCTGAAACATGTAATAACTTAAAAGTACATTAAGTTCTTGCGGGCTGTATTAAACTCTTCTGTGTTGCTTCACCATAATATACCGGGAAATCCATTAATGCATTCGACTTCCTTACATGATCTGAACAGGCAACTGCAGTCTTCTGATGTAATGCAGCATGGAGGTAATACCACCAGGTGTCTTACGTAGGTTCAAGCCTCCTTTTCTTCAAGCTTTGACTTCTCCTGTAAGGGCTGCGCTCTGCCAAACAGGGAGATAGTGAGAGATGGAAGATTCTTAAAGCTTTCTTCTGCCTCTAAAAGTGCTCCTCAATTCTTTTCCTATCTCTTCCTTGATAGGACAGTTGGATCAAAAAAACAGATAGTTCTCCTAGCCCACTATCACAGCATCTGCAGCCAGGTCTAAGAAAGAAGGATGTTTCTCCCGCTCCAGTTTACTACTTTACCAATTTACAATTTACTTTCAAAGCCAAGAGCCGTTGTTAAGACAGAACTCAGTTATTTTTTGGTAGCACGTACCTGGGGTATGCTGGTTGCCACAGCTGCTGCGGCCCATGATTGCAGCAGATGGCTGCAATTGTGCAAGTCTAGCAGAAGCTTTGTGGCAATTCATTCTGTGAGGTGTCCTGTTACGAGTAGTCATTTGATGATGTCCACAGGGTGTTTCGGGTGTCTGTCGTCCAGCTGGTGGGTCTGCCATTTTGTGACCCGTTATCTTAAGATCAATGGTCTCCAAGGAAATGTCCCAAAGTTCAGGATCATCTGGAATGAATGAAAAGGTGATCCAACCAAAGACAACAGTATTGTACTACAGGAATGACAGTAACTCCAGGACCAGCCCACTCTTTTCCTACAAGCGGTGGCCACTATAAAAGTTAAACTGTATAGCCTATCTTATGTCAGTGCACAGCAGGGAAACGGTACTACCACCTGTGCTCTGGACTGAAGCAATGTCCAGGCACTGGGGTGTAAGTGTGACCCAAATAGCCGTGGCTATGTTGAGACAAGCCCTCACCCCCACAAATGTTTTGGTTTTGTGCAATATAGCTTGAGGTAAAGGGTTTACCAAATGTGCATAACAACTCTCTACTGAAAAGCGTGGTGTGAAACCCCTCGTAAGGATGGACATCATTTCCCGGTCACTCGAGCAAAGTTTGTATTGTCAAGATCAGACTCATACTCACACTTCTATTAATCAACCTCTTCAGAACGATTACCTTTACGCTCTACTCTGAAGCACTTATTTAAATGCTAATGATTTAATACACTCTTACTCATCATTTTTTGGCTGACCTGCGAAGAATTCCTCTTCTATTGCTAGTTCCTGTTGTACTGCTGCTGGAGTGCTGTGCTTTACAGGAGGACTGGATGTTGCTGGACAGAGGTAACACAAGAAGAGATTAATATTGGAATTAATATTGGAAATGCTCCTTCTTAACAGAGCACGAGTCTGAAATGATAAGTAGCAGCTGCCACCAGCTACTTTCTTTTTTTCTAGAGTTGGTTATGTTTTGATAGCAGTATGTGGAATGGTAAGATTCTGTACCTGATGATGACTGGTAAGAGCAACTGCACTACTTTAACCTGTTTTTTAGCCTGTTTGGGGTGCAGCACGTTAATGGTGCACGAAGCTTTCAGGGTGGTTGGGAAGCTGCAGTTTTAAAGCTGACATTCCTGCCACTTTAAGAACATGGCGAGGGGGGAAGTATAATAATCCTCCCCTTCCTCTTGTCTCAAAGGTGTGTTGATTACAGTAGAATACAAAAGCAAATGAAACTGGCTGGGCTCCTGTATTGAGGGTAACCCATGCCTGCCAGTAGCTATTGTTAGAACTGTCAATTTTTAATGCCGAGACTTACCCTGTTTGCTGCTTGGAGTAACTACTGGAATCTGATGCTTTTTCTCCATCTGTTCCCGGAACTGTTGCTGTAGCTGCTTTTGTCGCAGTTTCCGCTGGTAAGTGGCATCGCACTCGATAGCTAAGGAGTCTGTATTTCTGCCCCTCTCCCAGGTAAGCACAAAGTTAAACAGGATTTCAACAATTACATTTTATGAAGGAAAAAAAAATGCATAAAGAAATAACAGCAAGGAAAATCCACTGAACCAGCATTTTATGGCATCTTCCAAATTGAGCTGTCCATGTGTTTTAAAAGGTACAGTAACTTCTAATATAGCTTATAAAATAAATTTATAATATCACTCACCTGGAACTATTTGGCTGTTTCTGATCTACTGTCACTATCGCAGCCTCTGTCTGACCAGGGTTACAATTAGACACCATCTCACAATGTTGTCTCCCTCCTGCGTTCTGCCTTTCCAAACAGCTATTGTATCTTGCTTTCTCTATTTCAGGCTCATAGTCCTCTCTTTTAGCTTTGACCAGATCTAACTCAGGGGGTATCTAGTAAAAGGAAAAAAAGAAAACAAAATCAGAAATTTCCTTCATCAAATTAATGAAATATGCACAGGCTTTTTCTATACAGTATTGTTGAAAAATCTAGTTTGTTTGCTCTAGGTGGAATAGTAAGTTAGAAGACTGAAATGCATTTTCAGTACAAAGTCACTCAGTTGGTTAATCGTTGAATTCATGCGACTTTGTGTTAGTTTACAAGTTCAGTGCTTCATGGCAGATCGCCTATGTCTCCGCATATTAGGCTCTCCGCAAATGAGAACAGATGCGGGTGATCAATGCAGAATTCTACAGACAGTCTCGCAAGTCATTGCTGAGCCTGTTAATATTGCCAGTTCCCTTTTCACACTTGTATTAAAGGGAATGGGAAACCTTTACTCAGTTCTCCAATCATGAGGTCACCGAGGAAGTTACACCTCTCTCTTTTTATTAAAGACAGGATGGTTTGGCTCTGTGATTTTACAAACTTGTGGCAAAGCCACTAATAGACAATGACCCTGGCAAAGCAGAGATCTGTGCCATCTTTAGTCGGTGAGGTGTCACTTTGGATCTGCTCCTACGGTCTAAGTTAGCTAGACAGAACTGCTTTACAGCTCTAGGCTGGCTAGCAGAGTTTGGTAGATCCCAGTATGATGAAGGCGACTTTCCTCTGAAACTCCATGGATCAACAATTGTAAGGCTTTTTCCTCAATCAGCAAGGTAGGTTACTGCCTAGAAGCGTACTGCCCCCAGCTGGTACACATCAGGAGCTGACAAGATTAATGTTGGTTACTGAGGTATGACCTCAGTAACAGCCAGGACAACTTTAATACCATGAAGACTGCTGTATTACATCACAGCATACTTATAAATTCTGATAGCTCCGAGAGAATGGGGTTAAAGTATGGTTGCCACTGATGAAAATGTACATTGCAATTTCTTGTCTCCCTCTGAACCAAAGACCTCCACAAGAGGCATTTCTCCACGGTGTTGGTTACTTCAGAACATTCACCGTTTGACCTAGTCCTTCAGAGTAAAAGTAACTGCAGCTCTTCCCTTGCAAGCTGAAAGCTAAGGAGACAAGGAGTCTGAAAAGCAAAGCAAGATTGAATGTGGCTTCTTACTGTTCAGCAAGGATAAGAACCTATTATGGGAAGGAAAGTAAGTGCTCAAGTACACATCAGTTGGACATGCTAATTCTTCATACATTCAAGAGCCACAGTTTGCTAGGAGCATTGTATCAGGCATTTAAATAAATCAGTGTAGGTCTTCCTAGTGTTATTTCTCATCCTCCAGCAGCCACGTCCAGTCCATCCTGCTCTTGTAATTCAGTTGCAACATTTAGGCACCAACAGATTTTTGAAGTCAAGCAGAGGACAGCTGCAGGGCTATCTGTACATGCCTCATGTAGCAAAACAAAACAGCATTACCTGTTTTGCTGTTCTGTGGTAAAACTCTGAAGTGACTGGCAACAGCTAAAATTTGTTGTGGGTCCACTCTAAACAGTTTGGTTCACCCTTTCTATGATAGATGCATCTAGTATTTTGCAGTGTTTTTTTGGGAAGGATCCAATTTGGTTAACTGAAAGTTGAAACCACCGTTAAAAACTACCTTTGCTTGAGACCTCAGTAAAAAGCCACTGCTACAGAATAACTACTTGTTAACTATTCTAACAAGAACAATGAGGGGTGAAATACAGGCACCCTGTAAATTTTGTTACAACGACCATGCTGACTGTGTCTTCTGTCTAGCTGTGATGTGCATTAGGGTCTGGCAGAGTTTGAATACCAGTTAGTAAAAGGACAAAGCAACTATCAATGCATGTATATTGGCATTGCTACCATATGAATTTTGCTTACAAATAAGTGAAAGTTCCAACTACAGCAAGCGACTTTGGTACATAACCCATCTGGTATTTTTTTCTAGGCTATCCTGGGCTATGCATATTAAAAACTTTATTTGAAGGAAGAAGTCTTTCTCATGGAAAAACTTCCTATTTTCTGCCAGAGCTCCCTAAAGTCTAAAGAAAGCTCCTTTTTCCTGCTGCTCTCTGGGTGACATATAGATAGGCTTTCAGCTTGAGAGGCTTCAGGACTAAATGAAATAGTCCTGATTTTGCAGAAATGCAGAGGAGCTGTACCTGCTTTAGATAGGTCACACAGATAATAGATATACTGTCTGCCTACTCTTCTGCCCTGCCCGCAGCCTCTGGTTTTATGACCTATTACAGCAATTCAAAACTGTGTCACTGTACGCAGTTATTTCCCATCCTTTTATTTTTATTCCTGAAAAAGCCCAGTAATGAGAGGAATATGACAAGTAAGTTTGATTTTTAAAATTCATAATAGCAAACTGGATTGTTATCACCAACAATGAGAACAAACTGAGTTATGTGTTCTGGTTTTTGCCTTATACAGGGAAAAAGCACACAGAAAAGAAACATGCACACAGCCTTGACAGACTCTATTCTCCCAAGGACTTCCGTTTCACCCATGTGATGAATATGTAACTTGACGCTGGTATCATTGCTGATACGCATTTAAAGCAGAAGTAGCTAGAGGAGAGCCAATGAACTGAGTTGCTGCAACTGACAAAGTTTAAATAGTCTTAAGAACCACAGCACATGGAGAAAACCGCACCTAGAACAGGACAGTTCAAACAGTTTAGTGTTTCCTGTGGTAACATATAACCTGCTATTAACACAGATATATGCATTACTGCCATTGAACAGAGAGACTCAGACAACATGGCTATAATGTCACATGAGATATTGAGTAGGATACTGTTTCTTCACCACAGTAATCTTACCTACTGCAAATTGTCAAAATTTAGAGTAGTTGTGGCAAAATGTTGGGGAAGAACTCTGGAACAAACAGTTCACACAAACTAGCAGGCAAAGACTATTGATCTCATAGCTGGAAACATTCGGGGATGAAACACATTGATATCATTATGTATATTCTTTTTAATATGAAGGACCAGGAGCAAAGGACATCTTGCAGTCCCTGCTCCAACAGCCCATGTACTGCACCTGACGTGGAAGCTTATTCACAGCTCGTAGGTAGTCTTTGTCTAGGATGCAGTTCCCAAGAGCATTCCCAAAGCACCTGAGGAACAAGAGAGCTCACTGTGACTGAAAATAACACTTAATTCTCACTTAACTTCTGAAAATGTACAAGTACTGATCTTTACTTACTTGAGTGCCCTCTTCAGTCCATCTGTTACTGCCTCCTTTCTTGCCTTTTCTAGGGACAAGGCCTTAGACTTTAGGCCTTCACTGACTCCGTACCCCACATCTTCATGGTATGACCCATCCTGCAGTAAAATTTTAAAAATACTAAGTATCAGGTAATTTCAGCACATACAGCACTTCTTGTTAGATGCTGTGCTTTCCTAAGCCTAATTACTCTCTCTTAGCTGATTGTTCTACAGCAAGGTCAGTGTTTTGGACACCACTAGGTTCTCTGGTGTAGTACAGTACTCAAGAACCACAGTCTGACCTATGCATGAACTTTCATTCACAGCTTTAGGCAATTCCTCAACTATACACAGAGCAAACAAAAAAAGCCACTTACCTTAAGCTGAACTTTTACAAATGCACAGACCCCCACATAGAACCTGCCGTTGTTGAGGTCAACAAAGTCTGGGAGAGGGAAAAGTAACATCCTAAATAATACAAAAGACTCCTGATCCACATTTAGATCTTATTTTGTCCTTGGGGACATTCATAAATCTGCACCATACTTGCTGAATGAGCCCGAGATACCGTATCATCTTCTATAAAATGGAACATGACTTACAAAATATTAACTGTAGTTTGAGAACGCTGACTTGCATACATGCCCATGGCATGTTACATGATGCCTTCTGGTTTTTAGTGGCTAGACCTGCCAAACACTCACACCCTGCTACTACGTGTATAAACTTAAATATATGAAAGAAGGAAGAGTTGTAAATATTACTTCTCATTCAGCTACATATCCTAAATGTTCAAAGCATAACCATTTTTTCAGCTGGAAGGAAAGATTTTAAGTGTCAATTTATAAAAACAGCAACGGAAAAGAAAAAAACTGTTATCTATAAAAGTAACATCTTTCCTATTATATACTAGAAGTCTCTAGTTTGCGAAATTTTGCACAAGGTTTTATCCAGGACAGAACACTTGCAGAGCTTAAGAGGCTGCAATACAACTCTCAATCCAGAATCTCTAATCTACTTTATTTTACACCAAAAGCAATGCTATGTAATATAAATAGGGCACTCTAGTTAGCAGTCTTGCAAGTCTGATAGAAACATACCACGTGTCTGAAATTAAATGCTTTGAAGTTCAAGTAAGTGTACTCTGGGCTCCAAAAGTTCTTCTGTACTCATCTGGTCTATCTGTTTAATTGTTTTGTAAACCTGCTGGAGGTACAAGCCCTTTTTCTACCCAAGAATTTAAAAACAAACATAACAATCCTCCGTCTCTGAATTTCTAAGGCATGACTTGTTATGGCATTATTCAAAAAAGATAGAAGTTTGAAAGACGTCAGTCCTTTCTTGACTGAAAAGGGGGAGAAAAAAAAAAAGTAGTATAGAATAGATGGAAAGCAATGAAGTAACTTGCTTTATGTCTAGAATCTACCAACCTGAGGTAAGAAAAGATTTCTGAAGGTGGGTGGGGAAGGAAGGAGGTACATTTAAGCAGCTTTGTTGAGCTACTTCAACAACCAGTCTTCAGCCTAAGCATAGCAGTCTGCAAACAAGGACAATACTCCTTTGGTAGGAACTACTTCGGCTATCGAGACGGAAAAAGCTTAAGCTTTAGGATCACCCAAATACCGTTTTCTAGAAGAATTTTTCCAAAGCTTTCTACTATAAAAAAATCTCAGAACCAGGTATTGGCTAGAAGAGGAATCTGCAGAAAAAGACAGGTCCCTAAAGATTAGGGGCATATTAACTGAGAATATTAACTTGTTAGAATATAAAAATTACAGGTGAGTATGAAAGTTGGCTCAGGGCTGCTGGGTGTTAAATAGTTTAATTGTAATTACTCTTGACTGTAGTCACTGAGTGTTCCCGTAAGAGATCAGAAAACTTGATTAGAATAGCTCAAGAATAATCATAAACACACTTAGAATAATGACTATGACATATTCCAGTGCAAGATCTAAAAAGAAAACAGAAGGTCTATTCTTATTCAATTTCTCTCATTCTTTCCAGACACCTGGAAATTTTGCATGACTCCCCCCAGGTTCTTTGATGTGATCATGTTCTAGGATAGATATCCCAGTCCTTATCCCAGAGACCTTTCCTTCAGGGCCCCACCGTGAAACAAGAGGAAAGATTTCTTTATCCTCAATAGATACTTACCAACATTCTGCTGAGTGACTGAATGAGCCCAGCCGTTGAAGCCAAACATCTCATTGGCCAGACTAATTACCTTGTGACCCTCAATGTAACAGACCTGAACAGAAAAGGACATATACATAAATATATATATATATACACATACACATGTGCACATGTATATACATGCTTTATTTTAAAGAGGGATTACACACATCATCTTACACTGAGGAAACCCAGCTAAGTTCAAGGTTCAGGTAATGTGAATGAAAGGATGATGGCATAGCTTTAGGTTTACCCTCTTCCAGCAACTGTGATAGGGGATTAATATGACAACAAATATGACTTAATCAAGGGAAGGCAGAGCTAGCGGGCACTAAAGAGGGTAAAATGCAGCCATATATTGCAGTTCTGGGAAAAAATAAGAAAAAATTCTCAATCTTCAACAAGTAGGTAAGTATGCCCTTGTCAGGGATGAAGCACTGAAAAGTTAAGTCTTTTTTTAAAGTGTAAAAGGAACCTGTGGCTCAGTAAAAGCCAGAATTTATGCTATGCTGACTTTGCTTTCATATCTGCACATTAAACTACTAGTGGGAAATTAACTTAAAAAAAATCAGGATTATTGTAACTTTTTTTACCCTAGATCTCCTGGGAAAAAATGTGAGTTGAAACACCTGTGCATGTTTGTTCATACCTTTTGTCCTCCTCCAGCTTGCCGACTGCTGATATATTCTGGACCCAGTCTCTGACGAAGAGCATGCTGGATAGCTTGATATTCACTTGCTGTATATTGGTACTTGACAAAGACAAGGTTAAAACAAATCTTCTCACTCTCCCTGTTTTAGCTCCACCTCTTCTCCTAATATCACTTCTTTATCTCATTTTTCCAGGTACAGTTGTTCCAAGAGGTGTACAGTTCATTTTTAGAATCAGGATGTAACAGACAAGAAAAGACCTCAGGGCGTGTGTGTGCATTACATTTGTGCATTTTATTGTTTTTTTTTCTGTTACTCTTGAAGTGTATGCATACAAGCATTAACTGTTGAGCTGTACCAACTCTTTTTCCTTTCTCATAAGCATCACTTACATTAGATGGACTGAGATGAGCTAGGCCTATGGAAATCTTAATGCAGTCACAATCCTAGTCAAGGTTGCCAGGAACACACATATAAGCCTACATTTTACCTCTCGTATCTCTGTGACCAATAAGAAAAGTGTATTTAAAACCTCCATCAAAACCAAAGTTTAAACCACTATATGCCATCAGGGCAGGGAGGATAGCAGCTCAGGCAAGCAACCAAAACAGGAGTTTTCTGAGGAGTGTTCAGCAGATTCCCCTCATGCAGGGAAGGTCCTTTGGATAACTCCAGCATCACTGGAAGGCTGAAGTGTTGTAACTTTTGCTCCTTGTCTTAGTAGAAATACAATTTAAAATGTGTAAAGGTTAGAGGAGCCTAAATGCATATTTAAGGATTTGAGCACTAAAACACCTGTGTCACTATGCTCTGATGTGGGACAGAACAGAGATTTTACCACCTAAATCATAAGTATTGTGTATGTATGTATTGACTGGCCTATCATTCAGCAGAACACAGAATTTGATACAGTGTGTGCCATGTAAGTTCCAACGCCTGCAAAACCTCTCTAATTTGTTTTTGGCTCTATTTAAACTTAAAGGAGTAACTTTGTCTTTTTCTGACACTAAAATGCAAGCCTGCGACCAAAAGCGATAAGCAAAAAGGCAGCGTACATGTGCCTATGCCGTATTCAGGAGCTATGCATAAATGCCTATCATGGAGAAGAGAATTTGACACCAAAAGGTCTGTTCAGTCCAGATACAGTCTTCTTTTTCCCAAATTATTTTAAACATTTTAAAAATTATTTTCAAATAGTTGAAAGTAGTTGACTTTTATGAACCAGTACTGAGAATGCATGTAAGCATGATCCATGACATCTAGGAATAAGAGAGAATAAAGCGATCCTGTTTTTTAAGGAACAAAATTAAAAACCTTTTGTGAAGAATCTAGAGCACTTTATTATAACTTGAAGCATGCCAAGACCATCATAGAGGAATGTACCATTAGGTATAGCATAGCTATAGTAATAGATGTAACTCCAGCCTTACTGTATCCAACTTTAAAATAAATAAATATGCAGAGCAGATTTCCAGAAGCACAAGCATAAAACTTCTGTTTCTCTCTCAGGCAAAAGGAACTGACCTGTCCGAAGCAAGCAACCGAACTGCTAGTGCTGGAACTATTGCTGCTGATGTGGCTTTCGCTGTCTTTCCCTTGACTTTCAGGCATCCCTAGAGACAAAATACAAACACTGAAGATAACAGAACTAACATTCTGTACGAAGACAAGCCACAAAGCTGCTGAAGTCCACTGCCCAGTGAGTAGAACAATATTCTGTAATAGATGTTTTGGACATTACAGTAATATTATACTTCTTACTCCATGGAACTGCTGCAGCCCCAACTGCAAATTTGTTTTCTGATGTTTTTTCAGAACCATCATAACTTTTCTTCTTAAATACTTTATACTATGTCATTTCATTCCAGAAGCAGAGCCACTGTTCTAGTCTTCCATCCATAAAACCAACAAGGGTGAGCCTAAATTAAATTAAATCAGTGAAACAATTATTTTAATAATAAATAAATTATCCTTGCTAGTAAAAAAAATATAATTCAACGGCATCTGGATCCCGCATAAGATCAGAGACTAGAACAAAAAAATTAACAATGTCTTGAGTCCCTGTATTAAATTGGTAACAAGTGATCTCTTCCCCCCACCCCCCTGCCCCCCTTTTAGATAAATAAGAATGCACTGTACCATTCTAGGTAAGGAAAACCAAAATAATTCCCCTTACAGATTCTTCAGCACTGCCTTCCTAGATCACTTTCAATATCCGTTAAGGCTTTGACTCTGATAAAAAGCAGAGGCAACTTTCTAAAATTCTACTTGTCTATACCCTGATTTGTCAGTCTTTATTTTAGATTATTGTTTTGACTATAATCTTACTGTCTTGTGTGATGATGGTATCATATAAACTATGCAGAGTTGAAAACCACACAGAACCTGTAAGAATTTTAAGAAGTTGTACAGATAATTCAGTAGATGGCACCCTTTTCCAAGCCAGTATCCAGCAACCACCCAGTATTGCATTACCACTCCACCCTGCTGCTGGAGAACTGGTCTTGCGGATAGCTTATACAAAAGGTGTGCAAAGGAGCTGAGCAGCACTTCTATATAAGCCCATAGAGGCAATCTTTTATTGTATTTGCATAAATGCTGAGTACAACTGGTAGTCTCTCACTAAGACTTCTGTATGCAATACAAATATAAGACAAGTCAACATACATAGAAGACAGCTGGAGATGTCAAGAAAGTTTGAGAAAGTCTAAAATCCTCAGTAGATAGTGTTATTTGACAGTCAGTCAGAACCTGGCTAGTACTGTTTTTCTACTGTACTCCAGGTTCTGCACTTGTTTTAAAACAAGGTGTTTTTCTAGTCTCTAAACAAGGAAGCCAAAGTTCACTGAGAACTTGGCAAAACAATTTTCAGAAAAAGGATACTAGTTGTTTCGTTGGCAAGTATGAGCACTGGTAATTATGCTAGGCGTAGCTAAAATTCTCCTTAATTTTGATTGGTGATAATTATTCATTTCTGGTCCAAAAGTTGTATAATTATACAGTGTTAATATATTTGAATGTGTTTCAATCAAAAGTTTGCTGCAATTTGTGGTATATATATTTGGTTTTGGAAGAGAACATATAGAAATTAATATTACCAGAGATACACTTGTGATTTAAGCAGGCTATTGCTCGTGTTAAGCAAAGAGTCCATTGCACGCTGAGAGAGACAATTAGAGAGAAAAAATAGCATCTGTGGTGAGTGACAGAGAGAATCAAAGTTCAAACTCCCCACTCTCCCCCGCCTAAATCAGATCTTAATTATTATAAAGCCCCTGGGAAAAAACAATGCATGAAATGTGCGTATTTGCCTACAGAGCCCTATTACCAGTTTGCCACAAATCTTTATGCACAACAGGTGGGTGGCATTTTGAAGCAAAACTGCTTTAACTGAAACCAGTATTAAGCCCGTTAAGTTTTTATAGGCTGTGCACCATTGTTAGTCTAAATTCTTCAAAGAGATACACCTTTAATGAAGCTCTAAGTAAGATGTGGGAACTGATTCTGAATGAGAACGAGAAAGTACAGAATTCTGTTGAAAACGGCTTCACAACATACGCTTTTAATCCAACAGATCAGATGCTGCTAGAGAATACTAGCAATATACTTCTTTGCAATAAACAGTTTAAAAACATGCCAGTGGTTTGTATTCAAATTATGTATTACTCTACAGCTTGTGTGAGGGAGACAGATGATGCCAGTTTAGTTTCAGGTTTGCCTGTAGGGACAGTTTGCTTCAGCTGTGAGCCTTGTTTAAACCAAACATTCTACTAAAGCAATGTGGTGGGTTTTGGTTTTTGTTTTTTTTTTTTTTTCATTCAGTGAAGTTCAGCACAGCAAAGCCCGACGTCTCAAAGCAATTGTCAGAGCATTTCAAAGTGACAGAACTTCAATTTCAAAATTATTAGAGTCAGAGTTCGGAAGAGAGAAAAGTTAATTCTGCAAATGGAGTTATAAATCTACCTCAATACCAGAGCCAGGGAAGGCAAAAAGCTTCCATTCCTCAGTAGAATATTGTTTCCTCACCTCCCTCTCTCCCTGCAATGTTATAACTCACATGAAACATTAATACTGAGGTAGATAATAAGCTATTGACTAGAGTACAAAAGAGCCTCAAACACCCTCCAGGGCCAGGACAGTGCTAGGAGACTGCCTGACTCATAAACCCATGATAAAAAGGCTGTATTTTCAAACCATCTTGAAATACTAAAAATTGAAGTTAAAATATACTTGCTCTGTATGCAGGATGATAAAAGCAGTTTAGCATCAGTTTAAAGACATCTAGGAATTACAATTTATTACCTCTGTGATTGTGACTGTTATTTATTATTTACAGAGAATTATTTTTGGTTTATCTGCTAATATTCTCAGAAAGCTTTCTTATCACTGAGAAAACACACACACAAGACTACAGGTGGTGCACTGTGCTCCAAAACAGGCGAAGAATTTTAACAGCTTTTACTACTACCATATTTTGATTTTTTTTTTTTTTTTTTTAAAAAGTCAGTAACACAAAAGCTTAAAATGTGAACATACTAGGCACACAGTTAGAAAAATGGCTGTTGTGGGAAGCTGGATACAAAAAGCTAATTTTCAACAGCACTCTAGAAGCAGGTTTTTATTTGTATGGTGGTAGCGAACTGAGCAGCTGCTGAGAAAAATTTGGGTGTGTACACAAATTCCCATGTAGGAAATAAACCAATCTTCTGAAACAGACAATCCTGAATTTAATCTGTTCAAATACTGTAGGTTACAGCAGCAACACCTTCACCTTCTGTGATAGTATGCAGATAACTTCTAATTTTCTAAATTAACACATCCTCACACACCTATCTACCTTACTGTCCATTACCCCCAAAAGAGATTTTGGTCCTAAATCACCTCTTTTCCTATCAGTTCCTCTGTCTTGATAAACTAGGTTTTTGAACCATGCACTGTACCTTAATCCTACGCTAGCAGTGTCAGTTCCCAGTTCTCTTCATGTGTAAGGTTTTGCATCGCTTCAATACTTCGCATACCATGAATTGTATAAGTACCACAACTTGGGAAACACTCAGCTAGAACATGGCTGTCTCAAGAAATTAATTGTAGCATCACACACAGTCTAAGATATGACTTTAACATAGACTGTGAACATTTAGAGGGCTTTTTCCTTCAACTTCATGCTTCCTTATATGGTAAGTTTCCTTCACGGTGAAGCTTTGGTTTGCCAAGTAAAAATCTTTAACATTCTTTCAATAAATGCAATTCCACTGAGCCCACCAAGAGCTCATGCATGTAACAACGAGTGATTTAGCAAGCACTAAAGATAATACCACATATTTAACCTAAGGTTCACATTGCTCTAACAAAACATACGAAAAACTTCCAAAGTTTCATATTTCTGTGGAGTATTCTCTCCTCTGGGAACTCCAAACTATTTTATAAGTTGATTAACCTGTTATGCAAAGGCTGCTTTACCTAACGCTGAGGTGTACATCTTTTAAGTATAATGGGGCAGATGTTTCTAATCAAGATAGGCCTGTGCTGTACCACTGTTTAAAAAGAGTGGAAAATAGATTACGAAATTGCTGTGGAAAAACTGTATACAATATAAGTCTTCAGTTTTGAGTTCTGATAATATCTCTGGGCAAGCAACCTTGATGACGTGTGAAAAGTGAGGTAATGTTCTGTTAACTTTAACAGAAGAAAAAGATACTCAGTGTTTTATAGGTTAAACAACAAAATGTATGTGGAGATCGTGATACTGGATGTCTACTGTAGACTAAAAGTGGCCTCTGATGCTTGCCAATACCATATCAATGCATCTTACTGGTATTGATTTAGGTCACATTCCGTAGCAAGAGATTAAAAAGGTATAATATAGAAATCATATACTATAGAAAGTTTGAGCTATGTGCAGTAGTTTAAATATATTTGCTTTCATACACTACCATACCACTTATTTCAGTGGAATCTATTCATGTGGCTCCAAAAAGCATAATTTAACCCTCAGATTTGTAAGGCATACTTTGGTATGTCTAGGATGATGATACCCTCCCTGCATTAAACAGAAAATGCTAATTCTGGTTATAATTTTTACTAATTAACATTTTAATGAACACAGTGTAAAGCTCTTTCTTCCTTATCTTTACAGAAGCTTAACAGAATAACATAGTGCATTTGGGGGGGAGTCTATTTAAGAATGTTTGAATACATCCAACATCTGAAATGAAGCCTATCTGGTCAATTCCTGCATTTTTGGAACACATGATGAGAAACTCATCTCCTTATTTATTATGCTGATGTTTCTGTCATAACAGCCTTTATATAGCTGTCATGAATTCATCGAACATCAATATATCTGTTGAAAGCTGTTTTAGGACCCTGCTTCCCCAGCAATTGCAAATCTAATTCCAGTCCAAATTGGTTAGTTTAACACATGTGTTGCTGTGCTTTAGACTACACATTTTTCAAATTTTCCTGGTTACTCCTCCAAACATGTTCCTTAATAGCAATGTTATGTGTATATTACTTCTCTCTAACACAATTCTGTTCACTGTTTTAAAATTCAGCAGCCATTGTCACTTTTGCCTTACAAACGGTCCACAAAGTTTCATGGTTTAAAAATGCACCAATAGCACCTTATGAAATGGATCAGTCCAAACAATTCTAAATTTGAAATACACTTGCTTTCTAAGAATATAAATCCTACTTAATTTCTTGCATTACTTAATTTCTTTGCATTAATTCGTAACTCTGTATAGAAAATGTTTCATTAAAGGGATTAACCAGTACTCCTTCCCAAATATTTCAATGATGTTATAAAATAAAAATTCCCTATAACAACAATGATCTAGGTTTCCAGTAAGAGGTGCTCTGTTTTATTGTTAAGGGGTAGAACTGAAGGAAAAGAGAAACAACTTGTTTGGCATACAAGGTGTGAAACCTCACAGTTACAAAACCAAAAAGTGAACAATCCACTTTTGAAGAACTAGTTTCATGTTTATAAAGACAGGGTAAAATAATAGAGCTCGTTCTGGAGGCCAGACCTGGCAGAAATATTACTCAAATATCGTAAATTATTTATGTGGGTACTTCTTTCTAAAAGCCTGTCAGATTGATTTGTAACCACATCATTTATGTATAAGCCACTTTAGTCATTGCAAGGAAAAGAGAGCAGGCTTTTTAACACAAGAGTAATGGTTTGGGACTTAAAGGGAAAAAGCAGCCTGTCCAACTGTAATTGTAGAAAGCCTGTAGTTTTGCAAAATGCAATTACTAGACAAGAAATTAATCCAGCCTGGAATCTAAAACATCTGAACTCTGTAAGAGGTGTGGGAGATCTGTCAAATTGCAGATCGTAAAAAAACACTGTGATTACAGGCACAGATGACAATTCTGTCAGCAAGACCATATTAAGATGACACACTAATTAAGTTACCACGAAAAACCTAAGGCTCTCAAGCTCTAGGTTTTTCTGTTTTGCTCCAGGTTGACACTATTTATTTTTAAATGGAAAATCATTCATATTTGAAATTGACAGAATACTTCAGGCATGAGCCAGCCTGTATCTATTTTCATGCTTCTGCTTTCTTAGACAGCAATGAAAAGTATTCTTTTTGGGGGATGCTTTAGGCTTGACAGAAGGGCTTGTATATTAGAGCATCCACTTACCTGCACTATATTATTCATCAGGAATTAATTTAAAATGGCTTTTGTGCTTCTACAGTTGAAAAGGAAGTTCAGGTTATCGGGACCTCTATGTCAGCCATCACAATTGTGACAGGTCTGAATTACTGTATTTATTGCAAGAAGATATGAACTTAAATAGTGATAATTTATATATCAATAACTAACCGTGCCATTCCTTGTGTAGTTTTACAGATCTATCTAGTTTACTATAACCTCTCACTTTAGCGTCCCCCGGGAATAACGGCTAAGGCACTCAATGTTAGTTTTGGCTATTTAGAAGAAAAAAAATAAAAAAAAAATCGAACCAGGAAGACTCCCGAGCAGGCCCTTTGCTCGTCTTCTAAGAGGCAGCATTTATTTCCGAAGGACGACGCATTTGCCAGGGAAACCGCCGTTGCCCCCAGTTCAGCCTGCCTAGGCCGCGGCGGGGCTGGCTGTGCCAGCTTTCCCAGTGCCTGTGCGGGAATCCCACAGGTTACAGAGCTTTTTGGGTTGGTCAGTTATTTTGGGGTTTTTTTTTGTTGTTTGTTTTTTTTTTTTTTTTTAAACTTTGTATTTGTCTAGTAGCTCCATTATGGGTAAACTCACCTGCCAGCAAATAAATACTTAAAAAAGTTCATCTTAATTGCACCAAGGTTTAAGATGCATCACCATTCACCCCATAAATATCGAAGGCCAAGACTAATTACCTTTCACACTACACAGGAAGTGTTCCCTGGGCATCATACATGCCAATACCCAAATGAACAGAAGAGCTGAAGGAAGACAGTGGTTTTCACAACAGCTTTAGCAAGAACTCATAGGTTGCATTGATTATTCCCCAGGACAGGACAGAACGATGGTAATTCAGATGGGCTCCTCTGAATAGGTGGTTCAGTTTTCTATCACGTTCCAGCCAGATCTTCACAAAGACTTTTGAGAAGGACTGAAATTCACCACCGATTTGAGCTTGCATGCGAGTTTTTACGACATTCACTGGGAAAAACAAGAATCCCAGCATGGCACCCAAAAGCCCTCCACAGATAAAGTCATTGACCAAATGAGTGCTGTAAGAGGTTGCTTCAGGCAGACACTGTTTGATAGGTCCCCGTAGGCCAAAGAAGAGCGCATTACTGGGCCCATTTCGGAGCAGAATAGGCACCAATCCCCGATAATACTCTCTCATTCCATAGACTTTCAGTACCTTGAAAGCCTGGTAAGTGTTTGTAAATTTATCATGGTGTTTGTAGTCCTGAAGCAAAGTCTGAACCCGCTCAAAAGGTGTAAGAACGGCTTCCGTGGTCCCTGCAAGCACTGCTGCCATGCTGCGAGTGAGGAGTTCAGGAGCACTTGTGTGGCTATGGAGCAGGGAGGAGAAATCTTCGTACAAGAAAAACATCAGACTGTCCAGGCACATAGTGCTGTGCTTACAGCCCTCATCTGCAAAAAAAAAATCATGTCTTCTTGCAAAGGCTGATAAGCTGTGGATTGCTATTCTATTTGCTTGGGATCCATCTCCCATCAAAACCTCTGTTGATTCTCAGTTGATTGTAAGTTCAAGTACTTTGTTGCAAAAGCTAATCCTGCAAGCAGGTAGTTGGAGTCCTATGCACATTCTTTTGAGGGGGGGCGGTATGGGAAAGATTAATTAGGAAAGCAGATTAAATTGGTCTAGTTTATTTGCTCTTCTCCTTTCTGTAAATAGGAGTGAACTTTGGCAGGGTTAGTTTTCTTGTTTCGTTCCACTAGAGGTAACAAAAGGTAATTTTCTTTAACAAGGGGAAATCAGAAGGAACTTATCCTCTGCTCTTGC